GTGCATCTGGGAGTTCATAATTTCGTATTTATTAAAATGTTTGCTCCTTGTGAGAATGGAATGATAATTGCCAAAGTAATTCTATATTACTTTTTTAAAATTGTGTTTGTTTGCATTTTATTTGAAAGGCAAGGAAAAAGAGAGAATAGAGATCTTCTATGTGCTGATTTACTTCCCAAATTTCTACAAAAGCCTATGCTGAGCCAAGCCAAAGCTAGGAAACTCCATGTGGTCTTCCATGTGGATTGCTGGGACGCAAGTACTTCAGTTATCATCTGCCACCTCCCAGAATGAGAATAAATAAGACACTGGATCAGAAATGTGGGAGCCAAGGCTCACACCAGGGACTGCCATATGGGCTGCAGGTATCTCAATTGGTGACTGAATTACTATGCATCCTACTTGCCCCTGGTATAACTTTTTAATTATACATCCTAACTGAATAAAAACTTTTGAAGATATTGATTTTAGTCACCTGAATTGATTATTTTTTATTTTTCCAGTGTTCAGTGTCCCATCTTTATACCACCGGTTTACCACAACCGGGGATGTATAGCATATGTCTAAAGTTTTCAAATTGCGTGCATTGGAGGTCAGTATTGTGTCACAAAAGATTGTCACCACCTGCAATAGCAGCATCCCTATGGGTGCCATTTTGAGTCCCAGCTGCTTCGCTTCTGATCCAGCTCCCTGGTAATATACCTGGGAAAGCAGTGGAAGATGGCTCCTGCCACTCATATCAGAGTCCCATTTGGATTTCCTGTCTGCTCTCTTTAGCCTTGTCCAGCCCTGGGATTTGATGGCCAACTGGGGAGTGAACCAGTGAGTGCAAGATATCCTTTCCTTCCCTTCTCCTCCCCTTTGTTCTTCTCCAATTTCCTCCTCTCCCCACTCCCTTCCTTCTCACACAGGAATTCTACCTTTCAAATAAATAAATATCTTAAAACTTACATACATTAATGTGTGTAGTATTTTATATCAGTTGTGCCTCAATAAAGTTGCTTAAAAAGTTAATAATTTTAAGAATTCAAAATACCTGTGGTTGTTACCAACACAAAAAAAGAGAAAGGTTAGACCTTGGAATGGGATAAATGAGATAGTTATGAGATCATTTAAAATTCTGAGATTTTATTATTGTTTACAGTCTTTGTCTACAATCCTGAATGGTGTTTTTGTTCTACTTGCTTTTTATTTGATTCTTTACTTAACAGAGTTTGTAATTGTAACGTGAACTTAAAGTATCCCATTCTAAAAACAAATACATAAAGGCACAAACAAATAAGTAAATAAGGAAGGAGAAGGGAGAACGGGTAGGGTGGGCACTGTCACTATGCTGCTGAATCTGTACTGTGAAATATGTGAAGGCTGTGAAATCTGCAAAATTATATGAATTTGTTCATTTTATATAAATGAAATAATTAAAACTATGAAAGAATGTATTTGGGGAAAAAAATACATGCACGTACTCCAGGATTCTCTGCCCTGTATCCTCCGTTCAGAAACTAGTCACACCAGTATGTCTCTTTAACATCATCTGCAAAGACCTACTCTGGAAAACATGCCCTTCTTCATTTTGCCCAACCAGGTTTTTTTCCCCCAAGCCTTTTCTAGCAATGTAAGCCAATATTAGTTCTCCCCTTTAAAAGGTAATTTATTGAAAGCATGAATCTACCACTCTGTTTTGCCTCATTATTTGTATGGTTTTTTGTAGGTTTAATATCCTCCTTGAAAATTTAAAACTTAATAGGAGTAGGGGCAGGTTTTTTAATGTTTGTATTTCTCTTACATCAAGTATTTAGACCAAGATAGCCATTTGGCCTCACAGTTAAGATACCCCACATGAAAGTGTCTGATTTTCAGTCCCAGCTCTGCTCCCTATTTCAGTTGTCTCCTAATATGTACCCTGGAAGGCAGCAGGTGATGGCTCAAGTACTTGTGTCCCTAAAACCCATGGAAGAGACTCAGATAGATTTCCTGGCTAGCCCCAGCTGTTGAAGGCATTTGGGGAGTAGACCAGCAGATGGGAGCTCTCTCTCTCTCTCTCTGGGTGTCTCTCAAAAAAAAAAAAAAAAAAAAAAGGGAAAAAAAAGAAAAGAAAAAAAAGAAAAAACAGGGAGATATTTTAAAAGATAGATAGATAGATAAACCAACCAACCAAAACTTGGCACATACTAGGGATCAGCAAAAAAAAAAAAAAAAACTGTGTTAAATAAATATGTTTTAGGACATTAGGAATAGGAATGCACTGCTTGGTGATTTCTAGGCATAAATACCAATCTGTTCTTCAATTCCAAAAAAGCAAGTCATCTGTAGATTTTTAAGAGCTGATAATTAAGACACCTCATATATATTATTAGATGGACACAGGATCATTTTTCAAATCCTTGCTCCAGATTCTTTCTGCAGCCGGTGAAGAGCTGTTTTTGGAAACTGCACTAGAAATGAAGAGGGAAAGTGTTGGTCAGAAGGCTCAGGATCAGCTTTCCGCCCCGTGCCTGGCAGAGGCTTTGGCTGCCCTCCACATGAAGCTTTAAATCAAACTGAATTTGTGGTGCCCGAGCAGCTCCTGGAACAGGGGGTTCTTCCACAGCAGGTTACACAAAACTAAAAATTCACTGTGCTGCGATTTACCCATAGCAGAAAGCAGAAAGAGCCAAAAGTCAATGCATAGCAGAAAGATAGTAATCTGTGGTGTTTTTGTTGTTGTTGTTTTATTTTGTTTTGTTTTGTTTTTGCTAGTTTACATGTTGGGAGTGCATGAACCAGTGAGCGAACAAGAGAGAAAAAATTGCAGTTTTAATCAAGAAGAAAAACAATAAATAGGTTAAGACATGATCTCAAAAAATTAGTTATTAAAATTCTGAAACCTGTCTGATTACTGATGGTACGTAGATGTACAGAGCAAAAGAAGGCTTATTTGCGCTACAAGTGCCAGTGTTTTCAACTCTCTGGTATACATAGTGTTGGAAGGGAACAAAAATAGGGTTAATTTTAAAAGTTTGTCTATTTGGGATATAATCTGGGCTTCAGATTTCAGCACAAGAGACTCTCAGATTCTAAAAACTCCCTTCTACCAGGCCAACTTTCAATCCTTTTGATTCTCTCCAACAGGAGCCAAATTAAGCCAATCTGATTTTTAGTGTCAATAGAAGTAAACGCTAATATTTTGAGAGGCACCAAAATATAAACAGTCTACCTTTATATAATGAAATATTTGTGTTAAATAATATTATCTTGCATGTGCATAGTGCTATTGACTTTGGGAGTCATTTTAATCCAAGTAACTGTCACAACAAAGATGAGGTAAGCATAGTGGTTATTATAATCGCCCCCAGCCGATTTAAACATGAGTGAAATTAATGCACCATTGAATTAATGACTTTGTGATGACTTGCATGAGCTTCCAAGTGGGAGGCTTGTAATGAGAACTCGGCTTTCTCTGGGCAACGTTTTAGAGTTGTTGTTGTTTTGTTTTGTTGGTTTTTTACCCCAAACCTTATTCTTGAGGACAGTAAAGCTGACAGGCAAAATCTAGATTTATAGCCATGTGTCCAAAACAAAGATAAGAATTATTTCCAGTTCCTCAGTTTTCCATCTAAAATATTTCCAACTTACAAATCTATGTGTTTAAAAACCTAACCCAGAATTTAACTGATGGCTTGCTACTAGTTAGACATACAATGTGATATATGAGTTCTTCAGCCAAAGGCAGAAGAATGAAAAGCAAAAGTTAGCAGAGTATTCAGGAGATGACTGGTCATTGGTGAGCTTATAACACTCAAGAAAAAAAAAAGAAGAAGGAGGAGGAGGAGGCAGACAGACTCCTCAGGAAAGGATCCAGGCAACCCAGCTCCTTTGAAGAACACCTGTTCCTAGATATCCAAGGGCCTTGCCACTTCATTTGAGAAAGCAAAAGGCAGGACTGAGACAATGTCACATAGAACATGATTTCTCCAGGGAGTGGGAGGAGGGGAGACCAATAAATGGAGAAAAGTGACTGGAGAAATCAGTTCGGACAGCTAGGGGCCTAACATTATGGGGACTAGGGACTAAGAGCACCTGGCTTATTCATGAACAGTTAGGATAAATACAGAAAGCCAACCTCTCAATGATGTTTATAGCTAGAAACCATCATCCACCTTTAGTGCACTTCTTATAAGGCAGCTGCCTTTTGAAATTTCTTTAAAAAGTTATTTATTTACCTATTTGAAAGGCACAGTTGCAGAAAGAGAAGGGAAGAGGAGTTTCCATTTTCTAGTTTACTTCCCAAATGGTCATAATAGCCAGTTCTAAGCCACCCTGAAGCCAGTAAACAGGAACTCCATCTGGGTCTCCCACATGGGTGACAGGGGCCCAGGCACTTGGACCATCTTGTTCTGCCTTCCCACTTACATTTGCAGAGATCAGATTACATGTGAATCAGCCAGAACTCGAACTAGCACCCACCTGCAACGGTATTGCAGGCAGTGGCTTTATGCACTGTGCTGTACACTGGAAATTATTTTACTTTTAAAAACGTCTAATTAGCATATATTGTGTATTTTTAGGCAACCATTTTCAAAAACTATCTCCCACCTCTTTACCTCACCACTGCAAAAACTCTAACCTGTATCATCAACCCATGTTACCTATTATTTCCCCTCATATGATGGTGTAGAAATCCAATCTGTTTTCAATAAACTTGATTTAGAATACGAAACCCAGCGTTTCTTCCTTTTGCCAAGATTATGGCTGCCTTTAGTTATCAAAGCCTAGTGCCATGTTACTATTTCTTTTTGGTATGTGAATTCCTCACTTCTTTCCTTTCCCATCCGACTTTCAGGCCAAAAGTCAATTTTTCGTGTGTTTTCTTGCTGAAGGTTCCATCTGCACATAAACTCAGCTGGACTGTCTGGGTCCAACAGAAACCTGCCTGAGCCTCAGAGCCATCTGGAGGTCTTGCATAGCTGCTTTCTGTCCAAATCAAGCTAATTCAATCAAGAATACTCTCTTTATTTCAGACTCCTGAAAGAGCATCTTGGAGAAAAAGAAGTTGAATTAACACTCATCTTTGATTCGGTGGTGGAGGCTGACCTAGCAAATTACACCTGCCATGTAGAAAACCGAAATGGACGGAAGCACGCCAGTGTTCTGCTGCGAAAGAAGGGTATTTCTTTTTACAAAGACAACTATGTTGCATCTACCTAAAAATAATTATTGAAGTTAGATTTGTTTTCTGGCCTTATTTTATCACTTGGTGTACAGTTGCATTAACCCTTTTGTCTTCTTAAGGACCACTATCTCTCTTACTCTGCAAATTAACATATTCTGCCTATGACCTTCGATAAGATTAGGAAATACATAAGAGAAACAAAGTACTGTGTCTTTTTTTTTTTATTTAAGCCATTGGGATGAACTAAACTTTGGTTGAAAGGGTTACATGAAACTTGATATATACCAACATTTAATATTTTTTTCCATATTTTGCCTTCTTGGGTTTGTGAGGTAGAGTATGAAAGATTCTATTATTTTGGATCAGAAGCAAAGTAAGATTCTTATTTCCTACCTGAAAAGTAAATAAAAATAATTCATTAATGCTGCATTCTTATAATTATCATCTTGAAGATCATAAACTATTTTATTACATGACCTGATCCTGGGACACCTTATACAGGTCCTTATATTTCAAAATGACTTAACATTTAGGGGGAGTCTTCCCTATAGGATTTTCCAAATTTGGAGGGGGCTATATATTATAGAAAGAAAAATCTAAATTTGCAGATAAAGGCAATAGAAGCTGATGAGGGGGCAACACTCTCAGCAGTAGAATAGCTTCTGAATTGGCTCTTACTTGCCACAAACCTTGATTGCTGCAATGACGAAATACTTTCTGTATGTGCGCATTTGGCAAAGGTTTTGTAAGTGCAGAGGACAAATGTTCTCAATCAGTGCTCTTGTTGCTCAGGCTATAAAGCAATAGAACAGACTCAATCAGCAAGGTCACTAGTTATATCTTCTGTCTAAGAAGGAATTTCTATTTTTCAGTCAACTTTAATACTTGAGTATAAGCAGCAGCTTTAGAAGAAACAAGAAAGTGTCATGATTCTGAGAATTCTTTTATCACTCTTGCACAATTTCTTACTCCATTGGACTTAATTTTGTCATAAAATAAAGAAGAATCTAAGTTTAAAATAGCATAATATAGGAAGTAAAGTCAGGAGATCCAGTTTCAACTACATGGCTCAGTAAGACTAGTTTGATGAGAATTTCAGAACTTCCCTCTCTTCATCTTTAAAGTAAGAGTAAGATTATCTCATTTTCAGATTGACTTTGAGGTTCAAATGATATTGAGACAACTAATACAAAGCACAGCATGCCTAAACATGTTAACGTATCTACCTCCTGTATACAAGGTGAACCATTAGGCCATCTCAATAAAGAGCAGACATTGAGCATGCCCAGATACCTCATGGGAAGGATCACTTGGCTCCTGATCACCTAAGTCTTCTTTGAGGTTCACAGATGCTCCCAGCCAGGGTCTGATGCTACTGTGCCTCTGTATCCTGAGCATCATGAGCATTGTCTGGCTACTAGTGGCAATGTAGAACCAGTTCTACCAAATGAATGATTTTTTTTTTAATTATGAAGAGATCAAGTGTTGGGAAACACTGGGCTAGAAGCTGGTGAATAGAGTGCTGAATAAAGCAAGCATCCCCAAGTCTTCACGGAGCTTGGAGTCTTTGGGGAAGTAGGCATACAGAGACAATTAGAAGGCAAACAAAAATTTTGCAAATAATACAGAGTGTTACTACTAAGGAAAAAGCCACTGTGGGGAAAAAATGTGAGAATCCAATAAATTTGCCAGTGGAGACAGAAATGGCCCTGAGTTTGAAAAATAAATGCAATTCTCTCTAGCAAGGAAAGCAACAACCAGTGGCACTTAAAATTTCTAAAACTCCAATTTTAGAAACCAAGATGTACTCTACTACCTCCCATAGCTTCTACAAGGAAATCTGTTTAAGTCATAAATCACTGACAATATTAATTCTCATTTGTATTGATACTTAAATATTTGTGTTCTAAGGATTCAGAACCACACTGCATACTTCCAAGGGAATTTCATTAAGTGTTTATCTCTTTCTCCCTACCATTTGTATGCTGACAACTCTCAAGTGTGTGTCTCTAGCCCACATTTTTTTTTACCTAAATGCAAATTTGGCTACATAACATGCCCATTCAGCATCACCACTTAGGGATCTAGTACATACATTAAGATTAGTGTACCCCAAAGGGGATTCCTAATTTCTCTCATCTGTTAGTTCTCCTTTCAGTTCCTTCACCTTCCTTCAATTGCTCAGGCCAAAGTCTTTGAAGTCATCTCTCATTTTTTCTTTTTCTTGTTGATTTCCTATATCCTGTCTATCTGCAAATACTATCATTCTATTTCCAAGGCTTATCCATACTCCAACTATTTTCCCCTACCTTCATGGAACCCACCATAATCTGAGCCACCAGCAGTCAGCTTGGTTCACTGCCATTGCTTCATAACTGATCTCCATGCTCCCACATTGGTTCTCTCACAGTCTCTTCTCACCATAACAAATAGAAGAATCTTTTGAATCCTTTTTCATGATCAGAACACTCCCAACCACAAAACTGTCCCTGTTACACTTAGAATGGAGTCCTAAATATCTGCAATGGAGGCACTGCACAATCTGTTCTTAGTTCTGATTTCATTTGCTACCACAATCTGTTTCAAGCATCAAATACGCCAACCCCATTTATAGATCTCCTCTTCACTCAGCACAGTCCTACCTCAGATCATTTCCATGTGCTGTTTCCTCTGACTGGACTACCCATTCCCAGCTGTTCCTAACTCTCCTTCCCTCATATACATCTCTGTTTAAACTTACTCTATAGGCCTTCCTTGGCCACTCTGATTGAATAAGATTGCACTTAACTTAATTTTCCCACCAACTTGGCTCTATTTGTGTTTAAAGGGATCCTTTACTACTTGAGATGATGTTACATGGTTTACTTCTTGTCATTTTTTCCCCAACAAGTATGTAAACTCCATGAGACCAGAGATTTTTACTGCCATATCCATAGTGTATAAAAAATAAGGGCTCAAAATATTTGTTGCATGAAAAGTTTCATCAAATAGCAAAAAGCACAGTGGGGTGAGGTGCTGAAGAGGGGACTTTCTCTGTGATCTTCTCTTGACTGCTATCTGCTGTGAGTCACCTAAATTCATTTTCTCTTTCCCAAGATTTTTTCTTTAAAGGTTAGAGTTTGGAAACTGAAATGTCTCAGGGGCCAGATGGATATTGAAATTGGTTTCAAATGAGAACTGGATATTAAACAAAACATTGAGTACAGAAAACACCCCTTGCTATAAAGGAGCAGCCATTTAAATGGGGTGTATTTAGTATACCCTGACAGATCATTATGGAGAAGTATGTGATTCATCTTTTCATTAAGGGAAAAGACCTTTTGTAAATTAAAACTCACATCTAACATAGCCAATTAACAGTCAGGCTTTGCAAAACAAGACATCCCTTAACTTGATGCATTTTCTACCTGCACCTACCACTTCTGTTCTCTGAGGAGCTGTTTTCCAGAAACTGCAACTAACAGAAGAGATATTCACTCAAAATATTTCCTTTGATGGGCCAAGTCTATGAAAATTAAGCCAAAGAAATTATGGTAATTATTTCTGATTTCTGGAACAAAACTGAGATATACCATGGGTTTGTTCTCTCTCCACCTCTCTCTCTCTTCACTCCCAGCAACACTACTCCACTGTGACCCTCAACTGTACATTTGTACAGGAAGCTTTCTTAGTCTGTTCAGGCTGCTGTAAGAACATACCTTTGACTGAATAACATGTAAATAACAGAAACTTATTTCTCAGTTCTGGAGGCTGAAAGTTCAAGATCCAGGCACTGGCAGATTTCCATCTGGTGATGGCCCATTCTTCATTTCTGCCTGAAACCTCATCACAACGTCCTTTACGGTACAGATTTCTGACATTCTATTCAGAGCCACTTAGGGAACCCCTAAGAACACTGATTGCTTTTCTTTAAAGCCCACATCACATTCTGAGTCATCACCAGAATCACTTTTTCATGTCAATATACTCAAAACTCTTCTAGCCTCTACCCATCACATAATCCCAAGGTTGTCTCCACATTTTTAAAGTATTTGCTATCACATTATCAATTTATTATAGCAGTACCAAGTTCTGCTTTAGTCCATTTGGCTGTTTTAGCAAAAACTTTAGTTGAAATAATAATAGGAATTTATTGTTCTCACCTCTTAGAGACTGTACACGTCTGTAACCAGAGTTCCAGCATCTTTTTGTCTGATGAAGGCAGAGTCCTCAAAGGTGGCAACTTCTATGTGATCTCATGTAAAAGACAAGCAAACATACTCCTTCTGATCTGGTTTAGGTGGTCAGTAATCCCATTCATAAGGGCTGCATCCTTATGACCGCAGTAGCCCCCACAGTTTAAAGCCATCATCTTGGAGATGAGGTTTCAACAGACAAATTTTGTAAGAGACACATTCAGACAATGGCACAAGCTTTTGGGTGGTGTAGTCTAATCTACTTCCAAACTTAGGAGCCAAAGAAGCAACCTCAAATATTCCCAGCCTCCCCTATCTTCAACCCCTTGGCTCTATGCCCCATTCTGTAATATCTGGCCTTTGTGTTCACAGCAAAGAAACAGTTGTATTTTCTCAAATTAATAAGGTTTTAAAAACCATATTTGTACTTGGGGGTGCCTAGAAAAAGTTACAACCCCATAAATATTTGTTATTCGGGCTATTGCAGTCTATAAGACACAGACCACATACAATGAGGTTTGGCTTCTCTGTCAGAAAATGTCCCTAGAAGTATAGGTCCTGCTGAGATGGAAAATGGCAATTGAAAACAGGAAACAAAAGAAGCCTAGCTGTCATCTTGGTGATGGCAGTCTGCCCTCTGATTATAGAATACATGTTTTTCCCTTTTGATGTGACTGCCTGGGCTGAATTAAATAATACTGCCTGGGTCTCAGGGCCTGCATTTACAGTTTCAAACTTAAACAACAATCATTATATAATATCTTTCCAAGACTTTTTTATAAAATGGACCCCAAATCCTCAAAGACACTTTGATACCACAGTTTTCTTCCATAAGGTTAGTGCTGAAAAAGGTGTCAACTACTTGGGAGCACAAATTGTTCCTGCTGCTGAAGTTTTCATCTCTCTAATGGCAACTCTATTCTGTAAATAACACAGAAATTACAGAAAAATCCCAATTACTTTGAAAACTGTTGAAAGGTGTTCTGAACAGAGAGAGACGGGAAGAGGAAGAGAGGAGAGAGAGAAACAGGAAGAGAGAGCAAGCCAGCCACGGAGGGAGAGAAAAGGAGAGTACAAAATTTTACAGCACAAAATTGACATCTTGCAACATGAAAAACATTTTGAATCAAGTCAACCAGAAACTGCTTTTCAGAGAAACAAAGGAAATTTTATTGCTCTGGCAATTTAACACTGATCATTAATAATGTATAATTGATACAAGGTAGTGGGGAAACAAGCAAAGATTGTCGTTTGTAGCCTCACAGAACAAACCTGCTCTGTTCCTCAAATAGAGGTAGGGAGCAGTTCCTTGGCAGAGCCACTTTCTATATAGAAAGCAAGACGCAGAGCTGGTATGTGGTGGGATATGTTTTTTAATCTGAAATTTTGTAGCTTAATTTTAAAAAAGAACACCTCTTGCGGGAATGACAGAGAAAGATTAGATTTTCTGATCCCTACTCATTTTGTGTCCTCTTACAATGGGCCTCATTCACATAGTTGGTCCTTCACAGTAACACCGTTCTCTTCTTTTTTCCATACTCCCCTTGCTCCCTCCTTATTCAAAAAGAGTGACATTTATTGGTGTTTCTAACATTCCCACTCCATGACTCTCCTGATTAGCTGTGCTGTATCTGGCCCTCATCATCTCCTCTCTAGCTCACTTGTTTCCAAGACTAAATTCCCTGTCTCCCCACAAAATCTGATACTCTTCTTCATACACCGGGACTACAAGAAGCACTCCTTCCTGGCTATTGCCACAGGCTTCTGAAATACCATACCTTCCAATGAAGTGGCTGAGATGCACCAGTTCTTTTGCTACTACCTAGATGTGGTTTTATCTTATTATTCCCTTGAAAGTGAAAGGACAGAAAGAGTCAAAATTACCATAAGTCACAATTTGTAAGGAACCACTACAAGCAGTTCTGTGGATGAACTGGTAGGAGGTTTGCTTTTGTTTTCCAGGTCAGAGCTTATAAAGGTATGGTGTAATTTTTAAAAAACAAGTCCCATTTTGTCCATTTCTTGGATACATAACATTGGCTATGTGACATGGACTACTAAGTTTCAAATTAGTGTTGTTGTTATTATTAATATTATTATTTAATTGTAAAAAATTATTAGTGTTCATCATGCTTGCAGTTGTATATATAGGTATGGCCAGTCATTTAAGATAATGAACGTTTCTACATTGCTTAAAATAGTTCCCTTGAATCAAAGAGAGTATTTGAATTTCACAAACATATTTTAGTTTCATATCCTCATATTTAGCACAGATATCAAAAGTAATCCAATTTCTCTTTAAGCAATCAAAATACAAATAACAGTAAGTCATACAGATGCTCTGCAATAAATGAACTGACAGAACTTTTTCTTTGGATGTTTTAGGTAAGTTTGTTCATAATTATTTTCTTTGTAGAAACCATCTCAAAATATTGAATTACAAAAGAACCAAGTTAAAAAGTTTAAAAGAAAAAAGTTAAAAAGAAAACACTTTAATTTTCAATGCTTAAATAATAATTGTAAGCATATTGTCACACTGATAAATTTCATCCCACTTTTAAAAATTGCTTATTTAATGTAAAATGAACAGATTTCATGTATTTCATATACATAATAAAACTTCTCACCTTCTTTTTCCTTCCTTTCTGCTTTGCTTTTAATTTTTGCAAGGCCGTGTTTCTAATTTACTTTATAATCACAAGTTCAATCCTTCACTAAATAAAAAATTCAACAAGTCCTTAAAAGAAATACTATTTCTGAGGAGTCCAGACAAGGACCTTAAATAATACATTCAAGTATAGATTTGAAGCAATAATTCTTGACTGAAAGGACTTTTTTAGAGCAAGGGTGCAGAACTTTCACTTTTTAAAGTTTTTTTTTTTTTTAATTTAACTGAAAGAATTATAAAGAGAGATAGACCTTCCGTCTGCTGCTTCACTCTCCAGATGGTGAAGTGGGCCAAATCCAGGATGGAGGAATTTCTTCTAAATCTCCCACATGGATGAAAGGGCCCAAAGTGTAGCTACTCTCCACTGCTTTCCCAGGCCACATTAACAGGGAGTTGAATCAGAAGTGGAGCAGCTGGAACTTGAATCAACACCCATTTGGAATGGCAGCATCTCAAGCAGTGCCTTAATGTGTTGCACCACAGGTAGTCTCTGGGGAATTTTTATTCTGCCAATGGTCATATGGATATTTATAACATTTTTCATGGTCCATACAAAATGGACAGCTTAAAAAACTAGTCTACTGTAGATTTAATTAATTTTCACGTCCTGCCTGTGGTTGCTTTGGCAAGTACAGACCAAATAATTTTGTGGGCCTTTTACAGTCTGCAAGCCAGATGTTCCCTATCCCTAATTTATAGAATGGATACCAGACTAGTTTAAAGTTTTATCTGTATCTATAATGTATTATATTACTTGCAATTACTCGTATATGTTATGTGTTTTTTTTAATAAACAGTAACATGCTAAATGGATCTTAATTGTTGTTTTAAGCCTGACTAATTTCAATTAAGCAGTGATCTTATATGGAGGTAAGAGACATTCCCAGAGAAAGGTTGATTATCTGGTTTGCAACAGTGACAGCCTGTCAGACCACTAATTTGATTTTGACAGTGCCCCCCCCCCCAAGTTGATCCATCAGGAGGACTGATGCCAACCAAACCCACAAGTAACAGACACATAAACTAGAATGACATCCCCTTTCACGATTTCTTGTTACACGGTGGGTTGATTCAGTAATAAAAGAGCCAGTTAGTTGCTAATAATAAGAAATAGATTAAGAGAGGCCCTCTAATCTTATAGGCAATTTCATCTCATTATGATGAAGCCAATGACTGTCTCTAATCTATGGCAGGAGATATCTAGTTGGTGTCTCTCTGACTCAGTGTTTCTCCTCTGAATGCTGCTGAAATCACATTCTTGGTTCTCTGATGTTCTGTTTCTCTAAATTCTGTAATATCATTATCTTTTAATAATAGCCTCTTCATATTTATTAACATCACTAATTATGCCACAGGTGAATCATTTTCTTCTAAGCCTTAGGGACAGTATGTCATCTTCCATTTGATAATGATTTAATTGTTTCAGAGTTCCGATGCCTCAATGCAGCAGCCTAACATTGCTCTCTCAGGTTGAACAAGAAAGCCAGGTGGTTAGCCTGGAATTCTCATTTTCTTTCAGCTTCCCTGGGCATATTATATCACATATAGATTATACTCATTTATTCAAATAAATAGAGTAAGGGCTAATCTAATTTCCCCCTGCTTACCTTGTATTGCATTATGTTCTACTAAGGTTAAATGAAACAGTTAAATCTTGCAAGCCCATTAAATTTTATTTCATTCTGAAAGTAATTTTATGATGTTGTCCTACTGCAGAAGACAGGCCTGTGACCTGAGAAGTGCTAGATGATAATCTTACTAACCCAATAACATAACTGAACAGAAACAGTCAAATACTGGTCCTGGACCAAGAATAAAGCAGTTTGCATCATTTCCTGAAATAAATATAAAGCAAAAGTGTATATGAAAAATCTAGATTGTATTCAAAACCAATTAGGGGTACCAGTTCTGTTTCAGATAGACTTAGCACTTTTGATAGTAAATTGCGATTTCTAGAAGATAGTTAATAAAAATTTGATTCATCCGAGTTTATCAAAATCAAGCCATTAAGCAAGGATATCTTGGAAAGGAAAGCGAAATAGGTGATGTACCTTGTATAGTAGAAACAGGAGATCTCTAGTGTAGATGATCTAATCACCTTTTATGCATGTTCTGTTTGCTCTAGATTTAATCTACAAAATTGAGCTTGCAGGGGGCCTGGGAGCAATCTTCCTCCTCCTGGTACTGCTGGTGATCATCTACAAATGCTACAGCATTGAGTTGATGCTCTTCTACCGACAACGTTTTGGTGGTGATGAAACTACTGATGGTGAGCTGTTTCCTATTGTTCAATGAAAAGGCAAGCATGTGTGATTATGTAAGCGAATATTCCTATTCTTAGAAAATACACACTTACCTAGAAGTAAAGGGCTATGAGGGATCCAGTTTACCTTCAGAGAGTTTGGGAAAAATTATTTATCTACCAAGAAAGAAAAGAAGAGAAAATATTGGCAATATGTAAATCTGGTAGACATATATATGTTTTGGGGATATTTATATATTTATAATGTTCCTATATGAAGTTGCTTTTAAAAAGTTTAAGAAGAATGAAAGTAAAGCGTAAGTTTGTTTTGCTGCAAACATTTTTCATATCTGCATAGTTTTTTTATGATACTATTTTCCAAGATTTTTCCCTTTCCCATTTCTTAATATTAATATTAAATTTACAAAATTTGTGAGATAGTGCTATGGATTCCTGTGTACACCTCACCCCATTTCTGCTATGAACATCTAATGTTAGCATATTCAGCCATCTGGTATATTTGAAATTATTGCCAGCTAAAAAGCTTAACAAGGGGATATAGTAGTCCAGAGGATAAAACAACTGCCATCAAAGTCCTCTTTAGTAAGAAAAAAAATTAAAAATTCATTCAATTTTTCTCCAGAAAATTTAAATTTATCTATAAGTTATTTTTAGCCATTTCTGCCATTGAAAAAAAAAATCATGCAAGAAACTGATGAAAAGCTATGGAGATATTCTAAAAAAAAAAAACATCAAAATCCAAGAGATGTAGTTTCTGGTGATCTTTGTTGGTGAGATTTGTCTCCCATAGGCAACAAATAGGTGGACTTTGTTATAGCCCAAAATAAATGACCCTGCATATTTTAGATGTATATAGTACAATTCTCAAATGTTACTCAAAGACAAAAATTTGGAATATGTCATAATTTTATTTTACTCTTTTGGATCTTAAAACTGAAGTATTGCTAAAGGATTTGAACATGGTTTTCTTGAACATATAAAAAGGTTTAAAATTTTTGAGGCAACAAATTACCATGTTCCAGTAAATATCAATAGTAAATCATAATATGTTGTTCCTTATACATGAAGTCCTCATCCCTAGGCTACTATAAGCCTTGGAGGTATGCACCAGAGTTTTCTTTAAAAGCAGTTTATGCATTTATTTGAAAAGCAGAGTTACAGGGAAAGTGAGAAGTAAAGAATGTGCCATTCACTGGTTCACTCCCCAAATGGTGGCAACAAACAATTGTATGCCAGGCCAAAGCCAGGAGCTTTATCCAGGTCTCCCAGAGTGCAGGGACCCGAGTACCAAGTACTTGAACCTGTTTTCTACTGATTTCCCCAGCACATGAGCAGGGAGTTGGATTAGAACTGGAGCACTGGTTCACAAACTGTTGTTTTTATGAGATACCAGATGGCACCTTAAGCCACTGGCTCCATATTTTTATAGTGATAGTCTAACAAAAATTTTTGAGGGATCTTTGTTTTTGACTTTATTGTTGCTTTAAATAAACGGTTATGTGAATGGGTTTCAATTGCCTTTTATGCTTTTTGCAATAAATTTGAGAAATATGGGCACATATTCATACTCATTCTCAAAGTTGTGTATTTACCCAAAAATTACAGCAGTCTATTCAAAAATACTATAGACTTATTAAGACACATCTTCAAAATGAGGGAATAAGCCCTAATCCACTTTCCTCCTTTGACTCATTTGATTTGAGGCATGATGAAAAGCAATTTCTTAATATATGCGGGAGATTTACAATCTTTTAAACTATTCTATAATAATTAGTATTTTCATCAACTATACCTGCTAACCCAGAGTAACTGATCAGGTATAGTTCAGGTATAGTATATACTTGTAAGATTAACTTCATGCTAATATCATAGGATTTTTCAGGAGTCAAAAATTCTATTTTGTATCTGTATCACCAATGTGGCTCATGTGGTTAAAGTTGTCATAATTCAGAACATTTTTGATAAAAGACATGTGTATTGATTGCAAGCTCATTAATTGGGAGATGAATACAGTTTGAGATTCGGGTACTTTAAAGGTTTTCATTGGGAAGGAGAGGTAAAGTATTTTATAGTCCTCCACAAAACCTTGGGAATTCACACAACTCCTATACTGGCTGAATGGAGTATTCGAACATCAGCAGCTGTGTCATGACGGTGAATTAATAATTTTTAACACCCTTTTAGAACTAACCAGTTGTATGGTGACAAATGTCACCCAAAGATCCATCAGATGTCTGCAATTTCATTAAAATCTCTTGACCCGTCCTAAACACAGTTTACTTTACTCCATGTAAGCTTTCTTCATATTTTTGCTTTGTATCTAATAGCAGCAATCTCTGAAAGATCTTATAAAATATTTTATTTTTATAAAACATGTCACGCAAACTTTGACTTCTTTACCATCTTTTTCTATTTAATCCTTTCATTTCAATCTCCAGTGATGGCTTCATTTATTTGGCCTTTCAGTTCTTCTAACAGTATATCTTTGTTGAGTATCTGCTATGTGGCAAGCATAATCCACAATCTGTTTGCTTATTTGCTTTGTTTGTATGTGCCGCAAGTATATGGTAAACAATAGGAGTACAATAATTACTAAGGTTAGGCAGTTTTTCAATGTTAGAAGCTCAAGAGCAAGGGCTGTGTTTAGCATCAGTGCTGAAGAAATGGGTTGTAAATAGTATGGCTTCATGGAGATGGTGAATAGGTTTAAGACTAGATTTAAAATAAAAACAGAATGGTTGTTCCACAAATAGGATGGTTCTCTTCCTCATAAATTTTCCCTTCATTAGGAACAGTATACCTATGGTGATTGCTGTGCTTGCCTCTTCCTTGGAATGCTCTGGCTGCACTGTGCTGTGCTTTCTGGCTGCTCAGATGAGCTTAGCCAGGGTAATTTAGCACAGAGCTCACTAGCCTTTTGTAGAAAAGTGGTGTTGCAAAGCTGCCTTTAGGTTTTAAAACACTTTTTAGGCCTTGCTGTCAATGTTATTTGCATTATATTATTGCTTTCGCTCTATCCATCTTGTGCCTCTCTGTAGTAACAGCTGTGACTATTCATGAGGTTTTCTTGGCTGTCTGCATAAGGCTGAAGTGTGTTTTTTAAACTGTGGCATCTGCGTCACTGCTGGCTTGCTAATTGGCATCCTAGAGCTTCTGGGGACATCTGACATGGTGGCTTTGAGAGCTCTCCTTCTGCTCTTGCTAACCATCATAAGTTGTTCAACTTTGGTTCACCTGAAAGGGATGTGATTGAAATGTGAAACAAACATTTTTCTGATGAATAATGTGTTTCTGGAATTTTAGGTAGAGTTTTTTTTTATCTGTATGCACTGAGTATATGTATATGTGTATACACACACACTATATATATATGTAAAAAATATATAAATATATATATATCCTTTCTGCAATGAAATAAATGTATATAAATAACAAGGCATACACATTCTGTGTCATAATTTAGTTTCAATGTGCAAATGTAGAAATTATTTTCTAAGGGAAGATCTTTGTAAAATTAAACTATGCCATCACACTGTAAGTGGAGCAAGTGACCATAGAATAAGCAAAATGTAAGTTTACATATGTTTGGAGAGCCCATGAGAGAGTATTCTGTATGGGCTAATCAGATGTGTGAAGGATCAGGTAGCCATTATGGATGGCCAGCTCAAGAAGATAAAAAAAGAAAAAATCATGAGATTGGTAAATAAGAAGTTACATTTCTGGAAATTTGACATAGGAAATTTTCCTAAGTAAGATCAGCAAGGATTTAGTATAACTTGGAGTCTGAGAGAGCAACACTCTACACCAAGAACAATGAAATATATTCTGCTCATAGGAATAGAGCTGTTTGTCCTTTGGCCTATTTTATTCTTCCAGCTGTCTACCATCGGCAGCTCTGAGTCCCAGGTGAGTAATTATAGCTAGAGAAAGTCAAGAGCCTGCAGGTGCATCCTGTACTTGATTGGAACAGGGGCAGAGGTGCTAGGATTACCAGGAGGTTCTTACATTAGCATGGCTTATGAACATTCTCACTTCCAAGTGGAGTTTTATGCACAACAGTGGAATGGGCGCAATTTGTAACCAAATTATCTCCTCAACTATCCAGTGCAGGCCTTCATGTACATCTGCTTCTAAGCAATCAGGTAATGCAACCAAAAAGTTTGTAGAACTCTTTTGCAGCCAAAGGATATACTGAAGAATATTAACTCTTTTTTCCTGGCTTCAGGTACCATCTTCACAGAAATAACCAGAGCTCATTTCAAGTGTGAGTGGTGAAGACTAGATCCTAACTAGAGTTAGAACAACATAATCCTGCCTATGAAGTGTCAACAGTCAAGGGACCTCAGGATGTAGATTTCATTGTAGGCCTGCAGTTTGCTCATACTCTGGCAAGCAGATTGGACTAAAATCATTAGTGGTTTAGATAAGTGGGTAGCTGCTTCATTCTATAAATTATCTTTTGGATAGGCTTTATCTATATTATAACAGATCTGTTTTATTGAAATATATTGGTGTGTTTTAAAAACATTCTTAAACATTATCCAGCCTTTCAAATTACCTGCAAGTAACTGCGTTTAAGGAGTACTAATAGTTCCACATGAATCTATGCTCATTGCATTAAATTTAAACATATTTTTGCTAGAATTAAGGAAATTTTGAAAATACTAATGCCACTTTCCCAGTGAGGCCCTTCTAAAAGCTTCAGAGATTAATACCTTGAGTAGCTGTGTTCATTAACATTTTGCTGGAAAAAATGCATGCATAAACACACATTTTCTCTTCAGAGAGACTGGCTTTGAGCCAGTACAGCACAGGAGGGAAAAAAAGTACACTCACAAAGTACGGTTAACTCCCTGACTAAATGTGTGAAGGGAAAGCCTAATTTGGCAATAATGGAAGAATGTATATTTCGAAACAAAGGCTTCCTTTGGAACTTGTGTCAAATTAGTTGGCCATGGACTGAACAAGAATGACAGGCAGTGCACTTGTATAAAACCCAGCTGCTGCCTCTAATATTTGGTAATGAACTGCTTTTTGTATATGAAGATGACAACAGTAACCAACTGGAAGCATGGCATGTGCTGGGAGTAGTGTCTCTAGGAGTGAGGCTGGATTATTTCAATCTTCCACACTGTAGGGGCCCGCCCTTCTTGGATATCTTGCACATATTTGTGCAAACAAGGTATAGTCTGTGACCAAGTAACCGAGCCAAACCAACTGGCACATAAAGGGTTCAAATCCATGACTTTGGTCTGTTTAGTCCTGCATTCAAAAACACTGAGCTAATCATTTACACATCATTGAACATCACAAATGTGTATAGTCACCAAAAGTCAAATAATAATACTTTTATCCTGCCACCTCTTATAGGTATCCTAATTACACATTAATTTTAGTTTCTACTATCTAACTAGGTTATATTAAATTAAATTCCATGAAGCCAGTGATTTCTTTTTCCAATTATTGAGGATATTCACTACTTACAGTACTTATTACAACCTGTCAGTGGTTATAATCGTTTAGTATGTAAGGGAAATCTGCCATGATTAATCACTCTTTTATTGTTCTTCGTATTTAAGACAACAAGGAATATGATGCCTATCTCTCTTACACAAAAGTGGATCAAGATACTTTAGACTGTGACAATCCTGAGGAAGAGCAGTTTGCTCTTGAAATACTGCCAGACGTCCTGGAAAAGCACTACGGATATAAACTCTTCATTCCAGAAAGGGACCTGATTCCAAGTGGAAGTAAGTACTTTCAAGTATTGCATCTAAAATGTTTAGTTTCTTTTAGGAAGTTATAAGGAAGCTTCAAAAATTATAGCCAACAACTTTGACAGTTGTTTCTCAACAGGAGATTTTATATTAGATGCAAAAGTTTCCCAATGCCTTCTAGGTTCTGACTTCCCAGCATCTGCATTTTTTAAAAACATGGTATCTTATGTTTTAGGTGTGGTTTTACATTTTTGCATTAATGGTGCTCCTTTTATATTGCCCTAGTGTTCTGAAAATTTTGATTCTTAAAAAAAATCTTGTAAAAATCAGTTAAAGCTTTTCCAATATGCTTCAATTCAGATGGTCTTCTTCCATCATTGTGCTTCTACATGTACTTACAACCATTGTTACTAATAACCTATCTATGACTTCCAATATTGTAACTCAGCATACCTTGTTACTCATCCCCAAATTTAGGAAAACTAATCCACTGAAAAAGTTACATGAAGTCATGAAATATAGCACTCACACTGTATATTTAAATTGTTTTCAAGAAATGCTGAAAACTTTGGTCTTAAATGCTACTTTTAACTTAAGCTGTATTTGAGTTTTCAGAATAAATTTTGAAGCCAAAACACATTTTCCTCTGAATGTTCAGAATGTGAGCAAAGTAATGTGTAAGGAATATACAGAGAAGCCTGAGATATGATCCCTGCCCTCAAAGGGCTTAAGATGCCAACAAGAAAAAGTAAATATGTTAGAACTCATTTGAATATGTTTCTTTGTTAATAGTCTTAAGAGAGGAAGATTGAACTGATAACTACACTTCCAAGCATAACAATTTAAATGCATGATTGAAGCAAACTGAATGGCTATATTTTCAGTTATATATATGTGTATATATATATTCAGTATATTATTTCACATATATTATTTAATAGTTACAAAAATCTTGTGTTGAGAAGAGAGCATACTAATATTCTCTTCTTACAGATGAGGAAACAAAGACTCAAGTAAGTCCAAGATCAGACAGCTGGCAAATGGTACAGCTGGCGATAGAGCCTAGATCTGCTTCTCTCTGCCAGGTCATGTGTCCATAGAATTTACTGAAATTGTCAGCAGTGGATGGCTCATGGTCACTAAGCTGACAGGAGACAATAGAAACAACTGAGTTTGGGTTGTTCATCTCTTCTCTTAGGGTGTTTGTATGTGTATGTATGCTTGTGTGTACATGTTAGCATGCATACTGACAGGTGTATGAAAAAAAAGAAGACATTAGTCCATTACTTTTCCTGCCCCACAACTTTAAGAATTTATTTTCTTTTGTAATTTCCCCATTCTCATGATTTGAAGTACGATTCTGTATTAATTGATTCCCTATGGAAAATCCTAAAACTTCAGAATCATTTTTTTTAATTATTCTCCTTTTCTAAATCCATTGTGCCTTGCATTTTTTTTTTCTGTTCTCACATCTACCATCTTGGTATAGGCCCTAAGTAGCTCATGCTAAAATGACAAGTATTTCTCTTCCTTATCCTTGTTCCTATCGATCAGCCCTACTAATAACATGTTCTCCTTGATCATGCCACACCCCTGCTCAATGAACTTAATTGTTCACTATTTCCTGCATGATAAAACATTTAGCTAAACACTTCTATGTCTGCTGTCAGCCCATATTTTTCTCCTGTTGTTGACTCTTATCATGTCCCTTACTCTTACCTTCTAGAGTAGCAAACTGTAACTTTGATAAACATTTTGGGACTCTGCACCACTTCTACTCTGAGAGCCTTTACAACTCCCATTTTTCCTTCTTCATATTATTGTCTGTGCAAAAGTCCACAAAGCCTCTTCAGATCTAGTGTTCACTGGTGTTTTACTGTAAATTTTGTATTCCTGTGATATTTTACACTATTTTATAATTTGATGTAGCTGTCCATCTGTTTATGTCATGTGGAGTCAGCAAGAATGTAAGCTCCATATATTTCTGTATGTCATCTAGCAGTAGACTTAAGCTTCCTAAGTACTTCATAGATGTTTTTGTTTCATTGATATTGTTTTAAGAGAAAAAGTGAGACTGTAAATAGAGGCTTATATTTTTGCATGATTGTATCTGAAAGGTACTTTCCCTTTACAGGGTTAAGGTGATTATTAAAAAGTTTTCTACTCAACTATATAAAACAGATAAGTAACTCCAAAGAATAATCTTAGCCCTTAACATACGCTAATAAATATACTGTTTTTTTATTTTTCCCAGATGTTAAAATAACTGCCACAGATGAATCAGAAATTCAAAATAGTCTTCTACAAATTTTTGGGCTACTTCACTTGATCGCTATGTATTTCTTATGTATTGCCAAGAGCTCCTTATTAAATATAAAAATTCTGAAATAGCTATGTTAGAGGGATAATGTCTCAAATTGTAGTAAATTAATATCATTACCAAAGTGGAATTTATAATGTATATGATATCATCTTCAGTAACATTCAGTATGATACCAGCCTTTCTGCTTTCTTATATTCCGTGGTTGTTAGCACCACAATAATCAGTCTTTGTCACCTCTAGCAAGTGACTAAAAACATGGTTTCATGTTTGACATTTGAAAATGAATTATCTTCCACGCTAGAAAAGAGTACTTTCATGTTACAAAGGGAAATGGGACAACATGGAACACAAGTGATATGACTTGCCTGGAACTCAGTAAATGACATTTGTTCACTTTGTGAGAGATCCAGAAAATGAGTGTGAGAAAGATACACTCCAAAGATGTATCTTCTTTCAGTCCCACTTGTGTTTCTTTTCTACCATTTCTTCCTAAGGTCAAGAGACAGAAAGAGACCAAGAACGATATCTTCTATCCACTGGTTCACTCCTCCAAGTGTCTGCTGGAACTTCAGCTAGGTCTCCCACCTGGGTGGCAGGGACCCAGGTATTTCAGCCATCATATGCTGCTTTCCAGGATACGCATTGACAGGAGACTGGAATAAGAAGCATAGCCAAGACACAAACCAGGACACTCAGATTTGAGATGTAGAAATCTCAAGTGATTTCTAAACCACTGAGACAAACATCCACTCCTCAGTTCTATTTTGCTGATTTGATAGATCAACTCACTGTGTTTATTTAGCCAAACACATGGTAGACTCTTTTATATTACTGAACCAACTGGCTCCTTGGCTAAATTGATCAAAACTGATTACTTGCTTTGGTTTATCATAGTCTGAAAGTTCTCCTTAACTATGGCATATGAGGCTTGCACAAGCCATAACATTTCTTAGCTTAAACCTATAAAAATTTAGTTAAAGACTATAACATACTTCATAAGAGATTATAGGAGGGAGTAACCCAGTTTATCCTGGTTTTTAAAATAATCATTTAACAAAGCAAACAACAATTAAAAATTGGATGTTAGCAGGATGCACAGAAATTTTCTGGTTGACAAAAGGTTATTTCAATGTTCTTGAGATTGTCCAACCATCGGACTGAGCAGGGACTTGACTCATGGGTACTCAGTGGTGCACAGGAAGACTTCTTCTACAAGTAAGCCATTTGGGACAACTATGCAGTTTTTAGATGCAACCACTGGAGGGTGTTTGATTTTAATCCTTCCTTCCTGAACGAGGAAATTCATGTTCGCTGAATTCCTATTTGCGAGTGTAACCTGCAGAGGTTCGTAAAAAGGCCCTTTGACAATTTTTCTTTTCCATCAACATTTCAGAGCTAGCTGAGCAGTCACCATGTCACGATTAACGAGTTTTTCTTTGGCATTTTTAGCACGCATTCAGGAAGTCCATGAAGTATATGAATAATATACTTGATTTACACATGAATGACAGAGTAGAATATTTTGGACTTGGTGTATGTGTGTTATTAAAGAAGCTTCTGTGGTCTGTATTTTCAGCCATTGGTATAGATTTAACAGGTTATGCTATATAAATATAGACACATTCCTGCGGAAGGGGGGACCAAGTTACCGTATTATAAGCTGTGTTTGTCCCTCACCTCTCTTTCAAAACATATTGACCTGAGACTACTCTGTCCTCCCAAACTAGTAATGGGGCCTTTGAGGATTATTTTTAAAAAAGTATTTTTCATAGGATCAGTTTTGATGGTACAACAATAATTCTCTATGGTTCAAATTAATGGAGTCTATGACACAAACCCACTTGTATTTAACGATTTCACTTTCAATGTATCTTTAGTTTCTTTTATGCCACTCTCTTGGTTTTCCAGCTTCCCCTAGCCAGCACACATTGAGCTTTGCAAATGTGCACTTTCATAAGTACATGAATCTCACTCTCGCTTTCTTTCTCTCTCTCCCTCTCTCCCAATCTCCTTCCCTTCTCTTGTTTTCATTGTCATTCGCTCTTTTATGAACCTTTCATATGACCAGGAGTTCTCAGAAAGCCTGGAAACAAAAATGTCAGTTTCCAAAGGGAGGTGTCTGTTCCTTTCTACATATGCTCTGCCCAGGAAATGTTGTTCTGTGCTTCTTATGAAGCAGAAAAGATGGGGATATTTGATGCAAATATTTTTTTTCCTTGATGCTGAAATTAGGTCTTTAGATCTGGACATTATTTTCCTGGCAGTAACTACTTTTCCATTCTTGAACCTGTGGCCAGAATCTTCCTTATGTTTTCTCAGGTTGGGTGCCTAAATGTGGCAAGAGTTCCTACTTTCCAGTAAAAGTTTGGTCTGTCTCTTCCCAGACTAGAAACATCTGTCCATGAGAACAGTAAAAGCAACTTTGTTGCCAACAGGCATCTGAATGTCAGAAGTGACAGGCAACCAAAAGAAAGCCAGATAGAAAACACGCTACTCAAACTGCCTAGAGACACAAACTTGAGACGTAGAGATTTTCTCACCCCTGCAGCTGCTGGGGTTTGTGGTGTAAAGTACTCTACACAGAGCACATTGTGTTCATGGGGCCTAGTGGATCCTTGAGGAATGAACAGATGTGCTCTGAAGCTGACATGTGACCAACAGAACCCAGCTGTGTAATTGAGATCCTGAGATTGGGGACATTTTTGGATGA